CCACCAATTATGCGCCCCCCCCACGCCTCCTCCCTTGTTAGTGAGCAGGCTGCTTGAGGCCGCCTGACTGTGGGGGTGACAGGTGGATTGGATTGTCACCCCCTCCCCCAGTGCCTGCTGCTTATTTCATGCCCTGCAGCCCAGCCACAGGGAAGGGGTGGGAGGAGGGATGACAGCTGTCTCCAGCGCCTCCTGCCTTCCCCTCTAGTCCCAGCCTCCAGCCCCAAGCAGCCTGGGAGGGAGGGATGAAGTCCTGCCTAATGAGAGCTCCCTTTCTCACTGTGGGGAAGAAGCCCACTCTGCCTCTCTGGGCTCCATTTGGACCCACACTGGGGTGAGGATTCTGGAAACAAATGTCCTACAGTTAGTTCCTCTGAGCCTTGATCATAGCCACTGGTACAGAGGGGCCCACAAGGGTGGAAAGATGCGAGGGAGAAGAAAATGTGGGTCTCCCCTGAGGAGTAGTGAGGGAGGATGGAGGCTAACATTGCAGCTCCCTAGGAAAGACATCCCCTGCTCAGCCCTGCTGCAGCTGCAGCTCCAGGGGGCTGCCCTGACCTCCCCATCCCCCCCTCACACAGGAACTGAGATAGCATCATTCTGAAACCTGAAAATAGTTTGACTATTGCTCAGGTATCAAGAAGTGTTACACTGGGGAGGCAGGAGCCTGTTTCTTCCATGCCCCCTCCAAACCGGTGACCCTTTAGGGTTCATTTGCATTTCATTTGTGCCTCATTTGCATGTGAGCACAGCCCACTGCTCCTATTCTGGTCTGTAGCCAGCTTGGAAAAATGGCTGTCATGAGTTTCTTCTGGATCCCCCTTTATGCTCTCTGGTCCCCACAGCCTTGTTAAGGGTATTGTCAGATGGGTCCCTGTGCTGCAGCCTCCTGCTCTCTTTTGCAGGTTTCTCTGCAGCTGTCCTTCCTGCCTCATAGACTCCTGGGCCGTCCAGCATGCTCTGTGCTCCTCTGTCCCCATAGGAAGGCCCTCCTCACCTCCCCAAGCCTTGCTGGAGGTCTGCTCTGCCCAACCCTGCCTCGTCCAGGGAGTCATTGAGTCAGAAGCAAGCAGCTAAAGCCTTGCTAGGGGCACTTGGAAGTGACACAGATGCTGCCCACTGAAGGAGTTATAGCTGTGATCTCAGATCATGATGGGGCAGGCCCTGGGGCCATCAGAGCCTGTAAGGCCATCCTGGTGACCCTGTCTCCTTGACAGCCAAAGTTCTCCCAAGCCCAGGACTACAGATACCAGAAAGAACGAAGGAGAAGGGTTAGAAAAGCAGCCAAGAGCCAGGGCATCAGAGAGAGTTTTTTCCTAGAGGAGGAACAGGTTGCAAAGGAGAAGGGGGAATGGGGCCAGGCCAGGCTGGGGAACAGAGACCACATCTGGAGAACAGATGCCCAGGCCTCTGGCTCCTGGCAGTTGGTTAAGTAATTAGTCAGAGGGATAATTAAGGAGGTCCAGGTGTTCATTAAAATCTCCTAATGGGGTAGGGAGGCTTGGACAGGATAGGCCTCCACACCTTGAATCGGGTCAGTTATGGGGTCCTTTGTGCCCATCTTGGCCCCAATCACCCTTCCAAAGTCACAGTTGAGTTCATGTTCTTGCCCCAGGGCTTTCAAAGAACCTGCAGTGATGTGAAAGGATAGCAGAAGAGGAAAGAGCCTTGTACAGACTGAGCCTACTTTGTAGGACAGCTTGTGGTTAGATAGAAGGAAGGACTGCCCAAGGCAGGGACATTTATTTCCTCCCTCCTCTGGCAGTGTTGGTAACAGAGAAAGGGCCTTAGGAAGCATGGAATTATAAAAAGTACTCTGAGCTGTCTTAGAGGAAGTAGAGATGGATGGGGCCTGGTTCCTTTACCCTACTTCCCTCTGTCAGAGAATGTTTAGTGGGTCTCTGTGGCTTCTCTGCCTTCTCAGCCCCATCCCTCTTGCATACCAGCTCCCCCAGCATGAGGCGGGGGTGGGGGGGTGTAGGAGATCAGCCAGGGAGCTGGTTGCCTGGCGACAGTTGCCTCAGCAACACCATCCTCTCCATCTCCATGTGCTCAGGGCTGCTCCTTAAAAGACTTTGGAGTCTCACCCTCTGCACCAGCCAACCTGAGGGCTGAGGTATCAGGAGTGGTTGGATGGTGGGTGGTGTCCAAATTGATGAGCTTCAAGGGTGTCTGGGTGAGGAAGGGTTCTAGCTTCACAGACGATAGAGTGAGAGGAGCTGGTACTGTAGCAGGATTGACAAAGGTTAGACTGTAAAAAGGACTTCTCACAGAGTCATAATAATGAATTTTGTTTTTCCTACCACTGTTTCCTGAGCTCCTTCATATTGGCAATTGAATATTGAAAAAGACAGATCTAGCCAGGCACCAGTGGCTCATGCCTGTAATCCTAGCTACTCCGGAGGCAGAGATCAGGAGGATTGTGGTTCATAGCCAGCGCAGGTAAATAGTTCACGAGACCCTGTCTCAAAAAAAACCCTTCACAAAAAAGGGCTGGTGGAGTGGCTCAAAGTGTAGGCCCTGAGTTCAAGCCCTAGTACCACAAAAAAATTAAAAAAGGAAAAAGGTCTAGTTCCTGCCCTCATGAAACTTTAATCTCACAGGGGAGCCAGGCATTAAATAAAAGCACAGAGTTCTAGCTATTTACATTTGTGGCAAGTTATAGAAAGACTACAAGAGTGGCTTTTTGGAGGATCATTAGAACAGAGAGTTTTTTCCAGCTTGGTGGAGGAGACAGCACTGACCATAAGCTGAAAGAGGTTCCATCTCAGCAGCAGTCTGCTTATGAACAAGAATGTTGAGGAGATAGGAAAGTGGGAGAAAGAAGGAAGGCAGCCACAGGAGCCAGAGGGTGTAGGAATTCCTGCACTTACCAGTCTAGTTTGGGCCAAAAAAGTCACATTTAAAAAGTCATCTTGGCAGAGCCAGTTGTGGTGGTACATGCCTATAATCCTAGCACTTGGAAGGCTAAAGCAAGGAGGCTACATAATGAGTTCAAGACTAGCTTGGGCTACAAATAAAGACTGTCTCAAAAAAAAATAAATGAAAAGGTACCTTGTCATACTGTTCTCCCCTGCACCCCGTGCCACCCCTGTGTGCACTCCCACATTTGCTGCCAAGCCTAGCCCACTACAGCTGGAGAAAGCAGTCTTTGAATTGCCCCAGAGAAGCAGGGGAGCTGAAATACTCAGTTGGGAATTTGGCAGAGATTAGGTCACAGGCAAAGAATGGGGTGGCTAGCGTTGGTTCTGGGCCATGCTGGGCTGCTGGTACTGTCCCAGGATGTGCGGGCAGGGGGCAGCAGGAGTCCAGGAACCATGAAGCACCTTGAGGACAAGGATAAGGGGAAGAAGTTGCTGGGTCCCCACTCTAGAGAGAGCAAAAGGAGTAGAGGTCCTTTGAGGTGGGGAGAGGGAGCTGGTCTGTTATCTCTAGATATCCTGGCAGAGCAGAGCAGGGCTGGGGTTGCCTGAGAGAACAGCCATACAATGGTCCCAGCTGAACCCAGACTCCTTCCTTCTCCCTCTTCTGTCCATGGCCAGGATGCTAGGTTGAACTTTGGCATCTACTATGGAATTGGAAAGCTTTAGGGAAAGCTCAGCAGTCATTGAATGTGGGAGCTGGGGGCAGGGTCCTCTGCCATCTCTGTTTCAACTCAACCCACTTTGGAGGGAGGTCAGAGGCTAGGGGCCACCTCCCTGCACTCTGCAGTAGGGTCTTTGGGCACGGGCTCTATAGAAGGTACTCTAGAAGGGAAAGCTAGACTTCTCTAGTCCAGGCTCCTCCCAGGACCCATCTGGAGTGGCTTTAGAAAATGCCTTCTCTTCCTTCTCCCAGTAAACTCCACCCTTGATGCAAGGACTCCTGGAATGATAGAACTGGAGGAGTCTTGAGGTCATCTCCATCCCACCCTGGTCCCTTCCAGTCTCTAAGGTCCCACCCAGCCTATGTGACCTTGCCCATACCTGAGAGCATGCCCCTTTTCTGGCTTGGAACGGGCTGCCATCCTATGCCCTCTCTCCCAATTGGGCAGGATGGGAGCCCTGTTTTCCACCCTGGCTGTAGGAAGCCAGGGACCTGTTTCTCTAGGGGCCATGAATGGGTTACAGGTATACCAAGATGGGGATGCCACCACTTGATGCTGTGTCCACTTGGTGCCAGGGACCTCACCAGTGTATGTCAGTTGGCTCTAAGTTTCATTGTGCTAAACGGTGAATGAGGTTAGGAAGCACTGCTCAGACTGAGCTTGGGTCCTAGACCTGGCCCCTGCCTCTGGGGCAGATGTGGACAGACTGACCCATGGACTAGCTCCTTTTTGTACACATGTTTCTCTTGGTTCACATCCCCATTCACTCCTCCCGTTGTTGCCATCAGCTGAGTGCATGCTACCATGGCAGAATTAAGTAGTTGTAACAGACTGTATGACCTGCAAAGCCTGAAATACTTTGTGGCCCTTCACAAGAAAAATCGTGCCAGGGCTAGGGTTGTAGCTCAGTGGTAGAGCACCTTGGGTTCCATCCCCACCACTGCAAAAAAAAAATGCTGACTTCTGCTATAGAGGAGTAGTCTGTTTGAGCAGCAGAACCCTTTCTCCAAACAGAAATTTAAGCTAAGGCCCACTGAATAAAGCAGATTGTTACAGAAGAGGTCTGGTTGAAGATAGGAGTTCTGCAACTCCAAGCCCAACTAGAACCTTAGACCCCAGGGTTCTACGAGCCCTTCTGAGCTAGGGTGCCAGAGATACCCTGTGCTGGCATCAAGCATCCCCTGCTCAGACAGGCATTCCTCAGTATGCTTTCCACACTAGGCTCCAAAATTGGTCCGTCTAACCTAGAGCCTGAGCGTAGCAGTAACTGTTGAGGAAAGAGCCTGGACCAGAGTACTGGGTCCTCTCACCTGGCAACTTCTTACAGGAGTACTGTGAGCTTGGTACACATTCCCAAGTAGGTGAGGCTGGATTTGCAGGCGCTGACAGTCCTTTTATGATCTTCCCCTCCCAGGAGACTGTACACAAGGTGTTACACAGACCATGAACTGAGTGCTGATTCCAGATATTAATGAGCACAGTGTAAGGTGTGCCCAGACCTGCCACCCAGCAACCCCTCCCTCACTAGCACTGAGGACCTCCAGAGAAGATGGGGAGGAAAAAGATTCAGATCCAGAGAATCACCGATGAGCGGAACCGACAGGTGAGGAAGTCCTAGAGCCTCATAGGATGGGTGAGGGCATGGAGCTGCCTCTGCTCCGGCTCTTTCTAGCTCTTCAAGAGGGCTTCCTGGAAGAGGAGGAGGATTTTATGACAGGGAGTGTGGTTGAGTTGGGAGAAGAGCAGGTCCCACCTTCCTGTACCTCTTAGAACTTTTTTGTCTCCTGTAACCTGATGGACCTGGGCCCTACCCCAGAGTCATGCCTGGGCACTCCCCCACCCCAGTGTGAAACCTTCCTCTTCTCACCCTAGGAGCCCTTCTGCTCTTCTCCACTGACCTCTCTCTAGACTTATGCACAGAGGTGTGGAATCCTAAATTCTCTCCCTTCTGTGAATTGGCTCTAGCTGTGCCTTGACTCTATCCTGGCTCAGGGTTGCTAGTCTGTTCCTTCCCCAAACCAGGGACTCCTGAGGGCAGCAGCTGTGTCACCTTGAGAATGTGAGCTTCTCGGGGTATCCTGCTGTCTGTAGGCAGGAACTCCTGGCAGGCTTTTACTGAGCCAGACCTGGCCACTCACCACCCTCCTGCAGGTGACATTCACCAAGCGGAAGTTTGGGCTGATGAAGAAGGCCTACGAGCTGAGTGTGCTGTGTGACTGTGAGATTGCTCTCATCATCTTCAACCACTCCAACAAGCTGTTCCAGTATGCCAGCACCGACATGGACAAAGTGCTGCTCAAGTACACTGAGTACAATGAACCGCATGAGAGCCGCACTAACGCCGATATCATCGAGGTGGGCCCATTTGCGCACACCAGCTGCTGCCCACATCCACACACCCCTCATGACCCTTTTCTCTGTGCACACACATACAAGCCCATCTCCTCTCACTCAAATCCAGGCCCCAAGGAAGAAGAAGGGGCAGTAGAGGCATACAGCCAAGAATGTCTCAGGTGGGGCTTCCCACTCCACCCTCCCCACCAGGGATCTGTCTTCCTATCTGCCAGGTGTGACAGAGCATCCCCCTGTCTTCTTCTCTCATGTTCTCTCTCTCTCTCTCTCTCTCTCTCTCTCTCTCTCTCTCTCTCTCTCTCTCTTTTTTGGTCATACTGGAATTCAAACTCCGCGCTTCACACTTGCTAGGCAGGTGGTCTGCCACTTGAGTTACTCCACCAGTCCAGGTTCTCCCTTTTTGTCTCTTTCCTTTCCTTAGTCTTTTAGTCTGCTCCTGCATCTGACTCCTCCTTTTTGGGTCTTCCTCTTTGTTTCCTGCTGTGTCCCCATGTAGGACATGGTGGGTTCCCATGTTTCCACTTTCTGTTTCGAAGAGCGAACATTGTGAATTCAGCTTTGGAAGTCAGTTCTGGCCTTTATTGGCCACTTGGCCTTGGGCAAGGTGCTTTGGCTTCCTATAGTCATAATGTTCCTCTCCGTGAAATTGAGCGGTGCCTACTGTGAAAGATGTTCTGTGAACGCAATGAGGAGGCCCTTATTGGGGTACAGTTTTTGTATTGATGAAGATGGTGCCTGGGAAGCCATAAGCCTACTGAAAGATTTGGAGGAAATTCCCTGATTTTTATGTTAGAAGAAACAGATTTACTCTAGACTAGATTGTAAACATTACATTAAGAAAAAAGAAGAACAAAGCAAGTACCTGTAAAAGTGTCTCATGCATGGAGAAGGCAGTCTTAGGTTACT